GCTTCGAATTACTCGCTTACGATGGAAACAAAAAGAGAATGAAACTCGAGCCTGGTGGACGTCTCAAGGAATTCCCTGACCCCCCTGGCCTTGTCGCGTTCATCAATGAGTTACGTGATGAGGAGCGCGCTCTTTCAATGCTCCACCTAACAACATGGATCAAATGGAGCCAGCGAGACTGGCTCATGGCTTACCTCCAAACCAAACGTCCCGGGTCCGGCTACAAGTCCATTCAGCAGATGCTCCAACGCTTTGCCTAACGTCATGGATTCTCGAGACAACGCCCAACGACATGCAAGAAAAGTCAAGTGCTTCTGGCCGAAACACGGGATGAATTTGCCTGCGAGTTTCATCGTGAGTGCAGGGCCTATGACAAAGAGTGCACGTACAATGTTGACGTGACAGGCATCTACTATGACATGCCTCCAAACTACATTTGGGCCAAACGCGGTGGAAGCTCCAAGATTTCAGCCGGCGAAAAGCATTCCATGCGCATGACGGCTGTGCTCACTGCTCGCGCCGATGGTCAAAAGCTTCCTATCATGTTCATCATGAATGGTAAACCTGGTGGGCGCATCGAAACTCACGAGGTACCGTCGTTTCCCGCTGGCCATGCCTACGCTGTTAAGAGAGGGCTTGGATGGACGCTACGGTGTGTGGAAGTCTTACCTCAGCAGCGTCCTTCACGACCACATTGAGGAAGCTTCGGTCGTTATCCTGGACAACTTTGAGTCATATGTGTCAGATGAGTCGTACAAGGTTCTCACCTCTGTCCACTCCCACCGAATGCCACGTCCTTCTGCCAGCCGCTCGACGTTGGTGTTATGGCGCCTTTCAAGCGCAACATGCGGGAGCGTTGGCTCTATGAGGAAATAATTGAGGGCGACGACGACGATCCTTTTTCCTCACCTCGAAGCAGAAGCGAATGGCGCTGATCAAGCGAGCGATTGGGATATGGTGCCTTCTGAAGTCATCAGGGCAAGTTTTGACAAGGCCATTCGTCGCCAGCAATCGAGTCAAATTTAATGACCAATTTAATCCATTTCATTTTACTTCCTCTTTGTATACACTATTTATTATTATACACTATTTATTATTGATTAAAATATTTCAAAAAAA